CTGGCATAGCAGCCCTACATGTGGGGTACAGTGGCCAGCACAGTTCTCCATGCTGGGGAGAGCCTTGGTAGATGGGTTTTGCCACCTGTACAGGGAATTCAAGAAGCAGCAGCAGCCAGGGAGAGAAACGCAGCTTGGTTTGGTATCAGTGAAGGAAATGTGGCCTCGTGGATGGATTTGCTTTTCAGTGAGGCTCAGGGTCATGATTGAATGTTGTATGTTGTACTGCTTAATCCAAGTGTGTAGCAGTCGTACAAGAGATGTGGCAAATGGGGGGGACTGTTGCTCAGAATGGTCTGTCCTCATGGCCCTGCGTGCATTTGCAGACATGAATACACGCTGGAGGCACTCTGGGCTCTGCCTTGCTTTCCCCTGCACATGCATTGGACAGTCCCATGGTCTCTCCCCATTCCACAATGACAAGTGTTAACTTAAACATCCTCCTGGTGGGAAAAAAAGAAGGAAAAAGAAAAGAAAAAAATGCGCATGAACACATACAGCAAGTCCTCTGCAGACTGTACCTTGCCATGTTACAGCCAAACAACAAGAGGTGTTTTGCTTCGGTAGCTGAAGAATACTATGCAACACACAGAGGACCATGGTGACCCCAGAATCCCTGGAAAGAGGATGCTTTGTTTCCCTTCTGACACAGACTGCACTGCCTGTTGGACTAATAGGGGACCACCTGTTCCCATGACCCACTGAGCTTCCCAGGGCTGGCAGGCAGCAGCCAGGTGGGTCTTCCAGTAGGTGCTGATCTTATCAAGTGCAATCCGGAATGTGGGAGCTCAGCTACTCATCGCATCCAGTTGTGAGGTGTGGCTGGTGCTCAGGTGCTCCCTCCTTTGTCACCCTAGCTTTCTGTTCTCCTGTCCACAAGTGCTTTCAGCTCACCCTGTGTGTTGGTTGGCTCTGGGGGCATCAGGTCAAACAGAGCGGGTTTTATTTCCACACTGACACTGCTGCCTGCTGGGCCTGATCCTGCTGGCAGTGGTGTGTGTCCCAGGGGGAGGATGAAAGTGGTCTGCTTGGCTGCCTCTTCTTTATGCCACTTTCTTCTCTTGCAGATTCAGAGCCACATTTCTTTCTTTAGAAGAGCTTCATGCCCTTTGCTTCAGTGGGTTTGTGGTTGACCAAGCCTATGTGCCCTTGTTATTCTAATTGCAAGGGGAAGTGCTGCAGATGCAGCTCTGCAGCCACATTGTTTGGCTGCTGAAAACAATAAATGTTCTTCTTTTAATTTGAGGTTGGTGGAATTGAAGGCACTCTGCACGCCAGAGCCATGCTACCCCCTCCCCTGTGCACCTTCTGCCTTCCCATATCCTATGCTTTCTGCACTGGAATTGTGGATGTAAAGATACATCTCTGTATATGCAAACTGGGCAGGGTTGCACTGGGAAGGTGATGGTTCATCCCAGCCCCACTGTAGCTATAGGGAAGCCCTCACCATTCCAGCAATGCCAGAAGCCCAAAGGTTCATTTAGGTTGCAGCCTAACCCAGTAACAGATCCCTGTTAGGAGATGTTGGTGTGTTCCCTGGAGAGTTGCACAGTGGGTTGGGGAAGAAATGCTGCCTTTTTTCTGCTCCAGTAAAACTCCTTTGCTGTGGCAATGAGGGGGCCAGGCTGAGATAAGGCAAAGCAGCCCAGCTGAGCCATGTGGGACATAGGTCCCCATCCCCTCTGGCTGCTGGCAGTCACAATGGGGTGAAAGCAGTGTGCCCTTGTCCCAGGGCAGCAGATCCTTGCTCCTTCTGTGCTGAATGTCCTAACCCCTGAAATGGCTCCCCTTTCTCTGCCTTGTCATCGCCCTCACTGATCCCACTGTTCCTCACCAAGAACAATCCTCTTTCTGTTGCTTCTTTCTGTTGCTTCCAGCCTAAATGAGGGCTATTTCTGCTTTCCTCCCAGCCTGGGCCTCAGAACTCGTCCTGCTTCATTTTGCTGACACAAGTACTGTATTGGGCTCGTTGAGCACATGACAGCATCAGTCTTTTGTTTCCAAAGATCTTCCCAGCATCACAGAGGTGTCATCCTCAGTGTGACAGGGGCAGCAGGACCCTTACCCCTTCTTGCCGCTCTTCTGTCTGCAACGGGACAGGAGCCCCAGCAGGAAGGTGCTGATGACACGTTTGGTGCCACACAGGTGTGCCAGCCCTCTGTGCTTCTGTCTGGCGGTACCTTGTGGGTGCTGAGCCCCCAACTGCCTCGTGAGGAGGAGGAGGGTGGCCTGTGGTACTCAGGCACCTCAGCGGGGGGATGGGGGGAGCTGGGGGAGAGGGCTGGAGGCGCCAGCTCAGTCTCACTTGCTCTCAGTGCATCTGCCCAGGTCTCACTGTACGATGTAAGTGTGTATAAAGCTGCATTACTGTGGGCGGGTGGGGGTGGCAGCGGAAGATAGATGTAGCTGTGTAAATGCCGTATCTATACGTTCACCATTAGGGGTTGGGTTTTGTGGGTTGGTTTTTTTGTTGTTGTTGATTTTTTTATTTTTTTTTCATTCAGTGGGGTTTGGAAGTTGTGTTTTTATTATTTTCTTTTTTTTTAATTTCAATTTTTTTTTTCTTTTTTTTTTTTCTTTTTTTAAAGAAATAAAAAGAAACTGCTTGACTGGTTTCAAGCACCCCTGTGACCCCGTCTCTGCCTGGTGTGTGTCTGTGCTGTTCCTGGGCCCCAGCTCTGCATAGGGACTGCTCTGGGCACTGCGCACGATGTCCTGTAGGTGTAAGGACAGGGCAAGGGTTGTGACATCCAGGAGCCTGAGCACAGGCTTTTGTTTCACCATCCTCACACCCGAATGCTCTGGGGGCAGTGTGTGTATGTGGCCGTATGAATGGTAAGGAAAATGCCTTCTGGCATTGTGCACATGCTGTGCTTGGTCAAGGGGCCTTGGGGCAGGCTGTCACTGCAGGATGAGGCAAGTACAGAGGATAGGAAAAGGCAGGGGCCCTGGATGCCCTCCCCAGGAATCACACAGGTGTGGTGCAAGCTCTGAAACTTGCAGCAAGAGCCTGCTGGCATCTCACAGGCATCAGCCCCCCTCCGCAGATAAGACTGGGCAGCACAGGCTGTGAAGAAGCATTCAGGCACCCATAGCCATCATCAGCTTCCTTCACCTCCTGCAACTCATAGAAGTTGGAATGCAGACAGTTCAGTGTGGCTATGCCCTTGCCAGCACACAGTTATGAATGAATTCACCCACTCTGCTGCAAACCACATCAGAGGCTGCTGGCCTGCTGTCTGCCTGCAGCTGCCACAGGATACGAACAGCTACAGTGCATGCTCCTGTGCCTCTCTGTTAAATACAGAGCAGCTCTGCAAAACGTAAAGAATGGAAAGAAAGAGAAGAAGCCCCAGCAGCCCAGTGTGCAGCCCCATTGGTGTGGCTGCAGCAGGATCTGCCCCTGGGCTTGAGGTGCACTGGGCTGATTACTGCAGTGATCTGCCAACTTCTCTACAGTTTGAAATGCAAGGCAGCCCTCTGTACTTGCCAAAGTTTTATTTGTTTCATAAACGAGTAAAATTATATTAATGTAAAACAGGTAAATGGACAAAAATAAAACACACACGGCACTGATCACAAGGCTACAGAGTATTGACATGTAGAGGTGCAGCTCCCCCCCGTGCGTCCCCCCCACACCCCAGTCCCAATGAGTTGCTTGAGAAGCTCAATGCAGAGGTCCAACATCTGTGTCAGCTTCAGCATGTTGTGCAGATCACAGGACTGAATCATAAAGGAAGCAAGAGTAACTGCCTCTAAAGGGGAAAGGAAAGGGGTTCCCCTCACTCTGCTGTTTTTTCCCCTCTCTTCCTCTTTCTAAGAAAGAAAATGAAATCAATAGGAGCAGGGGGAAAAAAATATCAATGGAAATTAACACTATTTTGCTACTATATATATATATATATATGTAACTTCATACACATATATATATATATATAAATACAAAGCAGGCTTCTTGGTGAACACAAAACTCTACAACACTACCATTGATCTGTGTTATGTTCTCCCCGTTTTATTTTAAAAGTTGTTTTTAAAAAGGATAAAAAGTGCACAGACACCCTTATAAGGCACAAACAGATCTTCTGTACAAATCATGTAGCATCAGACTGTTTAAAAAAAATAGCAATACGAGTACTAACGATTAAATCTGTTAAAGGCTGCCTTTTCCTGGAACTCTTTTTGAGGGGCCTCTGCCACTGTTTTCAAAAAATCCCTGTTGCTCTCTGGCAGGGAAAGCCCCCACTGCTGCCTGTTACCCCCTGTGCTGGGTGCTGGCACTACTCATTCCCCCCAGCAGCTCACTGTTGCTGGTGCTGCCCTCCTGGAAATCAATCGCAGCTGCAGCAGCAAAACCCACCCCTCTGCAACCTGCCTCAGCTGGTAATTTTTGCCATTTCTCTTTGCTGGCTTAAAATATAAGAGCTGCACCAAAAAATGAACCAGGTGTGTGCAGTCAGCCCTGCTTGTTGAAGACCTGAGGTGCCAGCCAAGCAAATGGGCTACATGCATCATTGCAGCTGAATGCCAGCTCCAAACAGAGCAGGCAGCCCTGCAACAGGGAGTGTGGGGACAGCCAGTGGCATCTGTTAGTCCAGTGTGATCCCACCCAGCATCATTTGCTGTGAATTCAGCTTTCCTTGAGCTCCTCCTCATGCTAAGAGTTCCCCCTGCAGCCCATGCACAGCAAGGGCACAGGGCAGCCCACCTGGCCAGGTGTCACCCAACAGCCCCACCTGCGCCACCGCAGCTCCCCATGCTGTGCCCACTAACTACAGCGAGGCCTTGAGCTATAAAGGCTAGGCTAAGCAAGTGTTTGGGGGATCCACAGGCAGGCAGCCTTGAGGTCATCACTGCAACACTTCAGCTGCTGGAAAACACCTTGGCCTCTTGATTATGGTGGTGCTGTACAGGCAGGGATGAGCCACGTTTCCCAAAAGGGCTCTGCAATACCAGCAGGCACTCGTGTCAATGAAGCAGGACAGTGGCTGAGAAATCCCATTTTAAAGCAGCCTCTCCTCCATACACTTAATTGAAACGCTCATTAGCTCTTTAAGTTTTAAAACAAAAAAAGTTTTCTCTATGCCCTGCCTGCTGGGTGTATGTAGGACAGCTCACTGCCCCCAGGGAGAGAGAGAGCAGCCCCACAGCCCCCACTGGGCAGCATGGCCAGGCCACCAACAGCAGTAGCAGCAGAGAGTCAGCAGCACAGAGTCAGCAGCACACCCATGGCATGGAGGGACAGGAGCATCCCTCTGCACTCAGCGGCCCTGCAGCACATGGGTTGCTTTTCTCCATTTTTGGACTGAAATGTGACAACTACACCTTTCTTACTCACTTGGTGGCACACAATCATTGAGCTAGAATGACATCAGCCCCTCTTTCAGCCTCTGGTTTGCATCATGAAATGCAGCCAGGCCTGAGTCTTGTGTGGGAGGAAGCCTGCAGGGGGACAAAGGATAGGGGAGCTCCTGTGGGAGCGTCAGGGAGGACACCAAGCCCTGCACAGACCCACTGCCTGCCCATACACTTCCCTCCTCCTCTAGATTGCTGCTGCTCATGGCTGTCTAACACCACAGCTGAAATACGTTTACCTTTTAAGTCTAATAATAGCCTCAGAGCCTTTCCTTCCACCTCCCCAGCAAAGCCAAGTTTGATCCCTATTCATCCCAATGAGTTCTTGCCTGTGGCTGAAGCCTCTCCTGGCAGCCAGTGTGTGGGCAGTGGGAGCTGTGCTGGGAAATCCAGAGAGGCAGAAGAAAAATGGCACAGTGCCCAGAAAGAAGGTGAGCCCACAGGGACTGGGGAAGGATAAGAGACATGAGCCAAGCAGGTCCCTATGAGACCGCAACTGCCCCATGCTGGGAGGAGCAGAGCAAGACCTGGGCCCTGTTCCACCAAAAAAAGAAAGAGCTGCTGCAGCCAAGCCAAAGGAAGCAGCTCCTCCACATGCCCCAGCAGCCTGCTCAAAACCCAAACAAATGACAGTCTAGTTGTGCTACTATTTTGGCCTTTGCTTGCTCCCCTTAAATGGATGGGTATTAAATTTTCAGATCAATTTTGTCCACTCCAAACCCTCCCACTGGGCCACATTCTAATTTTGCTCCACCACAGCACCAGCAGCACAGAGTTGTCTGAGCTCTGGGGCCGGGCAATCCAGCAGCACCCAGCGAACTGCAGCGTTCCCTCCCAACCCACATCACATCAGCCTTATCCTCTGCAGGATAAAAAAGCTTGGCACAGGGAATTTCCCATCTGCAGCTGGGTCGGATTCCTACCGCAATTCACTCTGTGGGCACACAGCCCAGCAGCACTGCCCCATGTGATCCTTATCTCAATTTGATCCCTGAATTATGCCCTACCAATCAAATAAGGAAACACAGATAACGAGCCACTTGATTACAACTGACCAGCACGATAACCCATAAGCAGGGACGGAAAGGCATGGTTACTGCTAGCGGCGGTCTCCCTTCCCAAGCCCAAGCCGGGCGCTACGGGCGGTAAATCTTAATAACATCTTTGATGACCCGTCGGCAGATGGGGCAGCAGGCGTTGAGCTGCTTCTTCAGCTTAAGACCACAGGTGTTGCAGAGGCACATGTGTCCACAGGTATAGATCACTGTGTCCACCTCGCTGTCAAAGCAGACGGTGCATTCCCCGTTTTTGCTGCTGGATGGCTCCGGAGGGGGGAAGACGGGAGAGACAGGGGGGCTCAGGGGAGAACTGGGAGCAGTCACTGGAAGAAGGAAGAAGAACAAGGTCATTTAGTCACAAGTGTGCACATTTGATATTATACAACATGTGGGTATGAGTGAGGATCGACGGTTGGACTAGATGATCTCAGTGGTGTTTTCCAACCTCAATGATCCTGTGACCATCCCCAGGTCTATGTTTTAGGCCCTTCTTTCTATAGCCTTCCCCACACATGGCCCAGCATCCTTCACCAGCCAGTATCCACAACCCACTGTGCTGCCCACCCAGCAACCCTACGCTAAGCCCTCCTTACCAAGCGAAGACTCCGAGGCAGACGATGACCTGTTGACACTGAAGGCCATGTCAGAGTCGCTGTCGTACTGTGAGCCACCGGGGGACCCTGAGGGTGAGACGGTCACTGGGCTGGACTGCACAGTGCCTGCAAGTACAGGAGAGGACTCAGCCCCCTTGGGACAGAGGGACACATGGACACACAGAGCTGAGCCCCATGGTGAGCTGATACCAACCCACAGCACCAGAGCTGCCCTCACAAAACCCACTGCTCTTAACAAAGGCAGGAGTCTAACACCTGTTGGCTGGAACCATGGGCTTATAAAGAATCTTCTTTACACACAACTCTGAAAACTAGCCAGATGCACACACAGCTCTCCTGGCTTCCTTACATGCTGTTCATTTTACCTCTTAGATCTCAGCCCTTCCTGGAAGGTTCACAAAGGCATCTCTGGCAGTGACAGCTGCCATGAGTTGCTCCCTCCTGCTCAGCAGCACAAGGTTGGGTCAGAAGCTATGTATGCTCATCACTGATCACCTTACACAGGCAGGTGACGACAGCCCATAGCTCTCTTTTACCAATCAGGTGCTCCCTGTTATTCTGTCCTTCAATAACTTACCCAGTATTTTGAGCTGGTTGATTACACCATGGATTGTAAAAAACACCCAGAGAGACTGCGAGGTATCCACGCACATCAGCATGCCACGGCTCGCTCCATTCACCCCATGGTGCACCTCGCCGTTTGGCAAGACCGTGAAATTGAGGATGTCACCTCCGCTGAAGACCGGGAAGGCCCGGAACACCACCCAGTACTCTTTGCGGTCCAGGAGAGAGTCCGGATCTGCTGGGAGCTCGTTTGTCCTTAAAGTACTCGGATCACAAGAAGTGATGCCAAACGAGAGGGCCCCGTAGTATGGCAACCCAAGGTGTCCCACTTCCACAAACAGGCTCTCGCCGACGTGCAAAGGACGGTCAGAAAACACCAAAGTCCTACTGCTCTCTTGCCAGTTGGTGCAGGCGACCATCCGGTCCTGGGAAAAGGTGATGTCAGGTCCATGGGTGGGGTGAAATCGCAGGTCTGTGTCCAGGAAGGCCGGGACCCCCTGCACACGCAGCCGCCGGTTGGGGCAGCAGGGGATGATGTGGTTGTCTGTCGCAAGTCCCGGCACCCGGCTCAGGTTTAGGTTTGCTATTTTGGCCACCACTTGATTATTCTCCAGTTCATTGTTATTGAAGTTGGCCGAGTCGTGGTTGCTCTGGGGAAGGCAAGAGCTGAGACGGGCGGTGTTGAGACGGGCAGTGGTCTCTGCAAACATGCTATCTGTGAGATAAACCCAGCAACAAGGGGCATCAGAAACAGTTGGCTACTTTTACCACTACTTGTGTTGTTATTTCAGCCTATGGATGACCTGAGTTCTGTTCCTCTGAATAGAAAAACAATGGAAAAATTAGATAGAGGTCAACTGCTGGCAAACAGAGCACTCATGGGGAGCAGGCAGCAAGCGAAACAGCTGCATCTTGGCACCAGCTGAGATGTTGTGAAATACTCATCTAATCTGGGAGCTCCTTGTACTGGTGAGCCAGGAGAAGCTGCAACCTAGCATGGTCCTCCAGCTTTCTTAGGACTAATACCTTTGAGAATACTTTTTAAAAGAAGAAATACCTCAATATCCCAGTATCCAAAAGTCTTTCGCAAGCCAAGTCTGCAACGCAATGATGGGTGAAGGAGTGGAGGAATCAGTGTGTATGTATTTTGCACGTCTTGTTACCTTATGACAATGACATACGTAGGCACTGGTGTGTCTAAGAGAGGTCATTCTACAAAAGCATTTCAAGCCTCATACCTCAGGGTGCAGCACTGCAGAGACTTTGAATCACAACACTAGAACGTGATGGAAAGTACCACAATAATAGCATGGTGGCAAAGTCTTCAGCTACAGCAAATAAGAATGAACTCAAATGCAGCAGCCACAGAAACACAGGAAAAGAGCTGCTTACCTTCAGAAGGCCTCAGGTAGGCAGGGATCTCCAACAAGAGATGCCCTCACCTCCACTGCCATCCCTTAAATGAGGTCTGGGATTAGCTGGCTCCATCCCTTCTGGTCATTCAGCTGCATTGCATGCACCTGAGCTCCACTGGGTTGGCCCTGCCTTCCCACCAGGTGCTCAATCACTGCTTCAGGCCATGACTCAGTATTTCCACTACAAGAGTTTGTATGATAGCTCCTTGCTGCTGATGTCAGAAAGAAGATTTTTTACAATAAGGGTTGTTTTCCCCTTTTACAACAAAGGTCAGGTCAGGATGATGACTTTTAACTCATTTCTTCACCTTGGCCATGTCAGGCCCAGGGGGGATTTCAGGATTTGAGGAGGTTCAGGAGTTGTCTTCCTTCTCCATGCCACCTGAAGTGGCATGAAATGCTTCCCCAGAGCTGCAAGCCACATCTAAGCTTCATGATGCTGAAAGATACATTTTATGCATCTGTATGCTGGCTGCATTTCACAGCTTTCTCAACTTTCAGGATTTGGGGAGGAGGAGTCAGAGAGAGGAACAGGTCTGCTAAGGCACCACCACATCTGGAGGGAGGAAGACGCATCTGCTGGTGCCCAATGGCTCAGCATCACCCTGGTGTCTGGGACAGTTTATGGGGCTTGGCACCCTGATGCAAACCAAAGCAGAGCACAGGTGCCCCTGGCACAGGCTTTCACTGTGCACTCTGCCTCCACAGGCAGGATGGAGTGAAAGCAGAAATAAGCAGCATTTTATTTGTCTAACTATAACCTACTGAGGAAGAAGGGCTGCTCTGGTGAAGCAGCTGAATTGGGCAGAAACAGCAAACACCTCCTCACCTCTTTGATGAGCACCAGAGGCTGGAGAGTGTCATGGTTGCAATTGCAAGATAAGCTACAGGAAAGGTTTAATTACACATTTGAGACAGAGCAGGCAAGGGCAAAGTGTTGTTTATGCGTAACTTTCTGGGCTGTAAAATAATTGGTACCATTCTGAAGAATCTGTGTCAGAGCTGCCTGCCCCTAGACTAACCATTTTGCAGCCTGCAGCTGGGACCTGGCTGTAAAACAGCACCATGTTTTTCCAAATCCTAGTAGCAAATCTAACTCCGTACAAGCCAAAGAAAGCTACATGTAAAGATTTACATCTAGCCCATCACATGGCTGCTGTGATGTACAATGGAGATTTAGATTAGGGGTCAGAGAGTGGTGAGGCACTGGCACTGCTGCCCAGGGCTGTGGTGCACCATCCCTGGAGGTGCCCAAGGCCAGGTGGGATCGGGTCCTGCACAGACTGATCTGGTGAGAGGCAACCAGCCCAGGGCAGGGGTTGGAAGTGGGTGTTCTTTGAGCTTCTTTCCAACCCACCACATCCTGTGATTCTATGACTCTTAGGACTTTCCATGACTGATTTCTCTGAAACGTCGTGTTTTCTGCATCCCACGCCAAAAGAAAAATCATTAATTTGATGAACAAAACCAATCAGAAATTAGTTGTTCTTAAGTGTCCCACAGAAGCAAACAACCAGATAAACCACGCATTTGTTTTCCAAAAAGATGCTGCAGTGGAAAGAGCAAGCAGAAGAGCAAGCCACGGGCCAAAGACACACTTACCTAGTATTTGCACTTCGTGGGTAATTCCATAGACATCTATGAGTGCCCAGAGAGGACCGGAGACTTTAATACCACAGTGAAACAATATCGGCTCCTCGTCATTAATACTGTAGAAGACTCTCCCGTGACGGTCAACCCAGAAGGCCAAGACATTGTCCCTGACAGCAAACCTTTCTGGCAGGGCTTTGGCCCAGTAGCCGGGCCGGGTCACCAGGTCTGGGCAGGCGTACTTTGGTATGTCGTCAGAGCTCATCTGCGACGGGTCGTGGATGGTGAAGCCGAAGCGCAGGGCCCCGCTCCAGCCATGGTGCACAGCCACCAGCTTCAGCCGCACCTTCTCGTAGACGTGGATGGGCCGGTTGGTGAAGGTGAGCCCGTTACAGAAGCTGTTCCTCCGCGTGGCCCGTCGGGAATGGGCGTCCAGCCGCACGTTTTTGCCCTTGGCGTGGGAGTGGAAGCGCAGCGGCTCCGTGACGGTGAGCACTGAGCGGCGCTCATGGCTGCTGTTGGGCAAGCTGTAGTAGGGACGGCTGGAGACCGAGCGGGTCTGGTGGCCTGTGTCTGCAAAGGGAGAAAACAGCAGTCTGTCAGAAGGACCTGAGCGTGGCCGTGTGTTGGCTCAGCCTTGAAACTCCATTACCAGCCTTTCCCGGTCTGGTGCTTAGCACTGTGTGCTGGGAACGACAATACTTTTAAAATCACAGAATTGAATCACAGAATTGTAGGGGTTGGAAGGGACCTCCAGAGATCATCGAGTCCAACCCCCCTGCCAAAGCAGGTTCCCTACACCAGGTCGCACAGGTCGGCATCCAGGCAGGTCTTGAACATCTCCAGAGAAGGAGACTCCACCACCTCCCTGGGCAGCCTGTTCCAGTGCTCCGTCACCTCACTGTAAAGAAGTTCTTGCACATGTTTGTGCAGAACTTCCTATGCTGCAGTTTCCAGCCGTTTCCCCTTGTCCTGTCTCCACTCACCACTGAAAAGAGTCCGGCCTCGCCATTCTGCCCCCCACACCTGAGATATTTATAGACCTGGATCAGGTCCCCTCTCAGTCTCCTTTTCTCAAGGCTGAACAGACCCAGTTCACTCAGCCTTTCCTCATAGGGGAGATGCTCCAGGCCCTTCACCATCTTCATGGCCCTTTGCTGGACTCTTTCCAAGAGATCCCTGTCTTTTTTGTACTGGGGAGCCCAGAACTGGACGCAGTACTCCAGATGAGGCCTCACCAGGGCAGAGTAGAGGGGGAGGATCACCTCCTTTGACCTGCTGGCCACGCTCTTTTTAATGCACCCCAGGATGCCATTGGCCTTTTTGGCCACAAGGGCACACTGCTGGCTCATGGCCAACCTGTCGTCCACCAGAACACCCAGGTCCCTCTCCGCAGAGCTCCCCTCCAGCAGCTCATCCCCCAACCTGTACTGGTGCATGCAATTATTCCTCCCCAGATGCAAGACTCTACACTTGCTTCTGTTAAACCAGTTTAGCCCTCTGCTTTGTGCAGATATAGAGTAAATGTGGCTCTTGGGTGGAAAGGTTCGCAGCTTTCCTCTACACCCTGCAAAGCTGGACAAAAAACTTCCTTTTGTTCTCATTGAATGCATCCGACTGCATTCGGAAAGGCCTGATACTTTCAACTGCAGCTCCCCATTTCCTATGTAAAATGCACGTGTTGTTAAATCATCATTCCAGCTGGCTGGTGCCAGATTCGCACAATCTCTGAGAATCTTGCTTGTTAAGATCAGAGATGTTCAACATGAAAGGCATAAGGAAAATTTTTGTGGGATGTGTAGCCACTGGCTTCTCTGCCCCTTAATTTTGTAATGATGAACAGGAGCTTTTGAGCAACACAAACAAACCAAGACATTTAGCAGCTGCAGGACTACCTCTACATCACCAGAGTGTTCTTCCAAAACTTTCAGCCCAGCCCTTGGTTCAGATATCAGATCCAACTGGCACAGGAAGGAACATTTCATCCCGCAAAGGCTCGCCTTTACACAGAACCTCCCATTTAAGCTCAAAGCACTTCATAAACCATGATTGTTTGCAGCTTCGCAGCACCACAGATGGCACAGAGATCCTGCCATCCTCCTTTTACAGATGGAAGAATTTATGGGTGAGATCTCGCAGCGTTTGAAGTCAATAGCAATTTCGAGACCAATTTCAAGAAAAGCAGATCTGGGGCCTAAAGTGAAGTTCAGACAAGCGTGAAGCAGAAATGAAAAAAGGAACACTTTCAGTATTGAGCCCTAGCTGTACGTTCCTGGAGGCTGAGACCTTTGTTTTGCACATCCTGAAAGCAGGTCTCTGCTCTGGGACACCCATAATCACCACCACAATGTCACCACCACTTTGGTCTCCTCTCTCTCACTCCCCATCTTCTCTTCTTTGCAGATTTTTAAAGCAAAAACGAACGGCACCCTGGGTGCTCAAAGTCACGCTATTAAATATAGCACCACATCACACACACACAGCCCTTTTGAGACTTTTTGCCACGTTTGAAGCTTCAGAAAACTCCTGCCTGGCCCTTCCTTCAAGCTGCTTCCTCCCTGTGTGCAGCCCCTGGCTTTGCTCTGGGACAAGGGAAGGATTTTCTGACGCCTTCCTCTCATGGGAAGGAACATCCAAAGACACCGGGAGCTCAGCTGGGAAAGCTGACAGGGGAGCTGGGCTAGGACACCTTGTTAGCAAGCAACACCAGCTATAGAGGTGAGAGGCTCCTGTAGCCACTGAGCTCAGTGGGGCACTCCTAAATTATGACAGGCAAATGCAGTGGCTAAATAAAAGCTCTTTTGTGTTCTCCTCATTCAAATTGCATGTAACCATGGCTGCTTAACACAAGGTAATGGTTAATCCCATCTGCACGCTCATGTAAATAGATGCATCCCTACCCTAATGCCAGTAGGTGATTTGCCACTGCAATGCCAAGGACAAGGAGTCCTGGGTCAGACGGGCAGGGGAGCCCCGGGCTGTGGCCATCCTCACACAGAACCTTCTCCACAGCACAGGGCAGAGCAGGAGCCCCCAGGAGAAATCCCCCTTGTCTGCTCTCACCCTGCCAGCAAGGAACTTTGGGACAGGGTTTGGGGATTTTTTTGTTGTTTGTTTGTTGTCAAAACAGGAAAGCATATTGTGACTGAACAATAGGAAAATCTCCAGAAGGAAATGAAGGGATCATTTATTTATAACGACGTTCCCCCCGCACGAACACCTGTCTGCTGCCACCAGCCTGACTCAACGTGGGGCAGCCAGGCATGGCCTGCCCTCTGCAGTGTGCTGCCATGTGTTTTGCTCATCGCGTCCCGCGGGGGCCAGCCAGCCCAACAGGATGTTTGTGCACTGGGATTGCCCTCATTTCCTAGTTCGCATCGTGTTTCAGTACTGCTGCTATTTCTCCAACCTCCCCTCTCTGACCTCAACACGGGGTAATGGGGACCAACACAACCATATCTAGTTATCACACATTTGAAGGCCCTGCACCTTCTTTCCAGAAGCCCAGCGCACTTATTTCTTAGGTTGTGCTGACCTTTGGAGAGGGTTTTTAATAAACATGCACTTTGCATTTCAGAAAGATACGGCGGTCAGTACAGTACCCCATCACTGGAAGTGCCCAAGGCCAGGTAGGATGGGGCCCTGGGCAGCCTGATCTGCTGGGGGACAGCCAGCCCATGGCTGAGGTTGGAATTGGATGGGCTTTAAGGTTCCTTTTCATCCATTCCATGACTGCATGATTCTATGAAAGGCTGATGTATTCAGGTATGGGACAGAGAGCAGCCCCAGCCCGGCCCCATGGGCATGGGGCAGCCAGTGGAGAAAGCAAGCTAGCCCCAAAGCAAGGAGAGGAAGACAGTGATCTGCATTTCCAGTGTGCTCCAGGTATGTCCCAGGTTTGCCTTAACAGTACAACCACTGCATCATGATGCATTTGCTTGGACCCTTCTGAGTAAATCCATGACAAATGAAGCTTGGGATCACAGGGGAAGCAAGTGATGGGTCAGCAGGTACCCAACAGGAATACATGCTGGAGAAAGCAAGGATGTGAAGGGGACAGAAAGCACTGAGACTGCTACTACGCAGCTCACCAACATGCATGATCACCCCGTGTTGTTCATGCAAGGAGAGAGAAAAGGCTGAAGGGTAGCAAGAAGCACAAAATCCATCCAGTAACGCTCACCGCACAAGCGAAAGGGAATGGAGCCAGTGCACCGTGCCTTATCTTTATGGTCACTGCTTTATCAGCAACATCAGGACTTTTTCCTACTACAGTAGATAGGTTGCTGCTACAACAACCCTGTTGAACATTAAACAAGGCTTCTGGAGAGCAGGGCAGGTGGCTTTTTCTTTGAAACAGGAATAATACTAACAGGTGGGGAAAAGGCAGGCAAGCTTAATGCCCCTACTGCACACCTATAGAGCCACTCTTGTGGACCTAACAGCATCCATGCATAACCCTAGTCCTGCTGCATGCTGCTGCAGAACCCCAGCAGCACACTGCCATGGCAGGATCTTATCTGCTCAGTACAAGAGATAAAATCTGGTCACCTAAAAATGTAGTGCATGGACATTTTCTTTTTTCTTTTTTGAATACAGAAAATGTGTCAAAGCTCTCTGGGAAGTGCTGGGTTTCCCATGTTCCACACTCAGCCATGTGCACGTGTAGTTGGGCTCCCAAAGGCACTGTACGGCTGCTGCACAAAACCAGCCCTGCTTCCAAAACCCTGACTGATTCCAGTGTGCACCAATTGGAAAATGCAACCATACAATTAATAAATATCCCCACTGGAATTCCTGTGGTTTGCATGAACAGCCCAAAGCCCAGTGCTGACAGAGGTCTCAGCCTCCCACCAGTTACTCTGATCCTTTTCTACAGGCAGCAAACACAGGCAGGGAATGTGCCAGAGCCCTGCAGAGCCACCAGCGTGTACTTCAAAGTTATTTCTAAGGCGGCGAGGCCCTGGTGCTGCTGCCCAGAGCTGTGGGTTCCCCATCTCTGGAGGTGCCCAAGGCCAGGCTGGATGGGACCCTGGGCAACCTGATCTGGTGGGGGGTGGAACTGGGTGACCTCTAAGGTCCCTTCCAACCCAACAACATTGTGATTCTATGACTCTCATCACTAAATACAGTGTAGGTGTGACTTTGATGTGTGGCATTTTCAGAACAGTGTCTGCTGCCCCAAAATCTCCTAAGGTGTCTGCGGATATCATCAAGTCCCCCTGCACCCCCTGCATTCTCTCCAGCTGTGCCTCTCACTCTCGCTGCGCACACGCATGAGTTCTGCTGCAAAGTTGGCACCATCTTTATTACAGGTTTTTAGTCCTCCTGCATATAAATAGCACTAAGAATATACAGAAGACAACGATTAAGCAGAGAAAAAAATCTCCTCTCCCCCGTATTATTAGTGAATCTGGGTCAATGAGTCTGCAACTCTAGTAACAAATTCTTAGCCTCAGTTAAGGAGAGACAAAGCAAGGGCGAGCGGGACAGAGCTGGAGAAAAGGCAGAGTTCGTGCCATAATCCCTGCTTAAGCACTTTGGTGCACACGCTGAAAGCAGCAACCTTAGCA